TCTGTGTGGTGCTTAGTTGCTGGCTGGGGATAAACCATGACACTCTGCGTTGTTTTCCCTCAGCACTTGCCTGGCATGTAATGCCAGGACACCTGTTTTTTAGTAATACAAAATATTCATTTCCTATTTCCCTTCCAAGTTGCAGTGTTTGGCTATATGGCCTTTGAATGGCTTTGTAAGGGCCCTGGGGATAACTACATCTGAAACATTAGGTATCAGTAAATGGAAAGGTGCTTTAATTATTCAGGAAATAGAATTCCAAATTCCAATTCCAGTTGCTATACTTGATGATGTTTCTTATCTCACATGAAAAACACAATTCTGACCATGACTTTGCTATGAGGTTTTTCATGCCCTGCCATGACAAACTATGTAGTAAAAATTAGGAAAATAATAATATGTTGGAACTTCAAGGACAAAGTATATACATTTTGTTTACGAGTACTATGTTGTTGCTTACATATAAATATGAAATAATATTAAACCCTATTGATTAATTCCATGCAGTGATTCAGACCTCTACTTGGACTTTAGGCATCCTTCTCCAATATTAGAATAGAATCATAGAATTATAGAATCATTTAGGTTGGAAAAGACCTTTAATATCATTGAGTCCAACTGTTAACCTAGCACTTCCAAGTCCACCACTAAACAATTTCCCTAAGCGTCACATCTACAGATCTTCTAAATACCTGCAGGGATGGTGACCCCCACTTCCCTGGGCAGCCTGTTCCAATGCTTGACAACACTTCTGGTGAAGACATTTTTCCTAATATCCAGTCCAAATCTCCCCTGCTGGAACTTGAGGCCATTTCTTCTCATCCTAACCCTTGCTAGTTGGGAGAACAGACCAACACCCACCTTGCTACAACCTCCTTTCAGGTAGCTGTAGACAGCGATAAGGTCTCCCCTCAGCATCCTTTTCTCCAGACTAAACAACCTCAGCTCCCTCGGTCACTCCTCATAGGACTTGTGCTCTAGACCCTTCACCAGCTTCATTGCCCTTCTCTGGACTCGCTCCAGCACCTCAATGTCTTTCTTGTAGTGGGAGGCCTAAAACTGAACACAGGATTTGAGGTGCAGCCTCAGCAGTGCTGAGTGCAGAGGGACAATCACTTCCCTGGTCCTGATGGCTGCACTATTTCTGACACAAGCCAGGGTGGTATTGGCCTTCTTGGCCACCTGAGCATACTGCTGGCTCATATTCAGCTGGCTGTCGACCAACACCCCCAGGGTCTTTTCTGCCAGGCATCTTTGCAGCCACTCTTCCCAAAGCCTGTAGCGTTGCATGGGGCTGTGGTGACCCAAGTGCAGAACCCAGCGCTTAGCCTTGATAAACCTCATACAGCTGGCCTCAGCCCATTCATCCAACCTGTCCAGATTCCTCTGTAGAGCCTTCCTACCCTCAAGCAGATGAACACTCTCACACAACTAGGTGTTGTCTGTGAAATTACTAAGGGAACACTAGAACCCCTCATCCAGATAATTGATAAAGATCTTAAACACAACTGGCCCCAATTCCGAGCCCTGGGGAACACCACTTGTGACTAGCTGCCAACTGGATTTAACTCCATTCACCACCACTCTTTGGGTTCAGCCATCGAGCCAGTTTTTTACCCAGAAAAGAGTAAACCTATCCAAGCCGTTGGGTTGGAAAAGACCTTTAAGATCATAAGTAGTCAGTTTCTCCAGAAGAGTGCTGTGGGAAACAGTGTCAAAGTCTTTACTATAGTCCAGGTAAACAACATCCACAGCCTTTCCCTCATCCACTTGTCATAGAAGGAGATCAGGTTAGTCAAGCAGGACCTGCCTGTCATAAACTGATGCTGACTGGGCCTGATCACCTGGTTGTCCTGTATGTGCCATGTGATGGCACTCAAGATGATCTGCTCCATAACCTTCCCCAGCACCAAGGTCTGGCTGATAGGCCTGTAGTTTCCTGAATCCTCCTTCTGGCCCTTCTATCATCACATTTGCTAACCTCCAGTCAGTTGGGACCTTCCTGGTTAGCCAGGACTCCTGATAAATGGTTGGAAGTGGCTTTGTGGGGACCTTCCCCCGCCCCCCCCACACCCCCTAGTCCCATAGACCTGTGAGTGTCTAAGTGGGTTAGCAGGTCACTAACCATTTCCCATTGGATTATGGGGCCTTTGTTCTGCTCCTCATCGCTGTCTTCCAGCTCAGAGGGCTGGGTAACCAGAAAACTACTGGTTTTACTATTAAAGACTGAGGCAAAGAAGGCATTAAGTACCTCAGCCTTTTCCTCATCCTTTGTCACTGCATTTGCCCTCGCATCCAATCAAGGATGAAGATTTTCCTTAGCCCCGCCTTTTGTTGCTAATGTATTTATTGAAACATTTTTTATTGTCTTTTATGGCAGTAGCTAGATTAAGCTCTAGTTGGGCCTTGGCCCTTCTAATTTTCTTCCTGCATAAGCTCATGATATCCTTGTAGTCCTCCTGAGGTGCCTGCCTTTTCTTCCAATTATTGTTTTAGTCCTTCTGAGTGGCCTGTCCCTTCTTCCAAAGGTCATAAAATCTCCTTTTCTTCCCGAGTTCCAGCTAAACCTCTCTGTTCAGCCAGGCTGGTCTTCCTCCTCACTGACTCATCTTTCGGCACATGAGGATGACCTGCTCCTGCACCTTTGAGATTTCCTTCTTGAAGAATGTCCAGCCTCCTTGGACTCCTTTGCCCTCCAGGACTGCCTCCCAAGAAGCTCTGTCAACCAGGCTTCTAAACAGGCCAACATCTGCCCCTCTGGAAGTCCAGGGTAGCTGTTTTGCTAACCTCACTCCTTACTTCTCCAAGAGTCAAAAACTCTGTCATTTCGTGATTGCTATGCCCAAGAAGGCCTCCAAACATCACATCACCCACAAGTCCTTCTCTGTTCACAAACAAAAGGTCCAGTGGGGCTCCTTATCTAGTTGCCTCACTCACCAGCTGTGTCAGGAAGTTATTTTCCACACATTCCAGGAACCTCCTAGACTGTTTTCTCTCTGCTGTATTGTATTTCCAGCAGACATCTGGCAGGTTGAATTCCATCAAGAGAACAAGGGCTAGTCATTGTGAGACTTCTCCCAGCTGCTTATAGAATATTTCATCTGCCTCGTCATCCTGGTTGAGTGGTCTTTAACAGACTCCCACTGTGATATCTGCCTTGTTGGCCTTTCCTCCAATTCTTACCTGTAAACACTCAACCCTATCATCACCATCATTAAGCTCTAGACAATCAAAACACTCCCTAACATACAGGGCTACTCGATGGCCTCTCCTTCCCTTTCTGTCCCTTCTGAAGGTGTATAGCCATCCATTGCAGCATTCCAGTTGTGCAAGTCATCCCACCGTGTTTCCGTGACAGCAACTATATCATAGTAATATTGCAATTGTGATAGCCATCTTGCAGCTGACGCAATCTCTGTAAATAAAATTATCCTCATCTAAGTTTAGTAGGTATGTGCGAAAACATCGAGATTCATACTTCACTGAGCTTATGAGAAAGTAGTCCACCCCTGACTCAGAAATCTAAAAGCAGGTGTTACCCAAGTATTTGGCCTCCAGAATTGCATCTGGAATTGATAGCTCTGGGCATGCAAATGAAAGACAAGTACATGAAAGCATACATCCCCTTAAACACAACTGGCAAAGGATTACATTTATCCTCTTAGATGTCCTCCCTCCTAGTTCTTTATATTCTGCCATATCTTATTAGACTGAAAGTAAAGAAAATCACTGAAATATGACAGATGAGAGATGCAGTGGGAAAAAGAAGAGCTTACCTTCACAAACTGGAACTTTCCCAGTCCATGTGCCATCAGACCTACAGGCTCTATGCTCTGATCCTCCCGCCAGGAAGAAGCCTGGTTGACAAGTGTAAATCAATGTATAACCAAGTGAGGGAAGATCCATTCCTGCAACATTAGCATGAGTTGGTGTTTCTGGTTGTTTACAGCTGTGAGCTACAAAGGAAAGATAAAATATTCTTCAGTCAAAATGGTGAAAATATTTCTGAAAAAATAATCTATACCCATTCTTATAGGTAACTAATGAAGAAAAAAGCATCAATAAAACCAACATGTTATATTTTCAATTAACATTAAAAATTACTATATAGTCTATAAATTTCTGTCCTGAGCCTGTACATACACTCTTGAAAATGGACCTTTCAATTTCAAGGGACCAAGAACCAAGTTAAATGCATTTGCATTATCAAAATTAATTGTCTGCATATGTGAACATAAAGAGCACACATCTTATCACAGTTAAAAGCTATTATGGTGTCACCGTTTAAGCCTAGGCCAGTATTTAAAGCAGATGGCAGATGCTCTCTATTAAACACTTCTTTCCCCCAGAAGGGAGGGTTCCTTTGCCCAGAGGGGGAAGAAAAAAAAAGACATACTTCCCCCCAGAGGGGGAAGGAAAGGAGAAAAAGGGAGAGAGACTTACAGGTTGGAAAATTAAAACTACTTTAATAAAACAATAACAATGAAAAAGAGTATAATAATATCTATACTAATACTACTAATAATAGAAATAAAGGAAAAAATATACAAAGCCAATATTGAGCTTTCCAATGATGATCAGGGAATTGCAAATCGCAGCGGCTCACACTGCTCTGTGGCAGGGCAGGCACCCTGATGTCCCAGACTGGACTCTGCAGTTGACAGGAACTGAATTCAGGAATGCATGGATCAAGATTGGAAGCAGGAGAGTGAGCAGGGTCCCACAGGGGTGCTGGCCATGAAGGAAGAGAGACTGACCCTTGTGATCCCTTAGCTTTATACTGAGCATGAAGTGTATGGGATGGAATACCTCGTTGGTCAGTATTTGGTCAGCTGTCCTGTCTGCACTTTTCTGGAGGTGCGAACCCGTTACTTCTTTTCACTTGTTTAACATAAGAGAGCCAGCAGTGACCTTGGTTCCCACAGGAATAAGTATAAACATGGGCCTTTCTGCATACCAATCCCACTGTTACTTTGGTAACAACTATAAACATCAAGCGTTATCAATTCTGAAAGCAGACAGTGTCTGAAAAACAAGTTGTTAACTTCAGAAAGTGCAGTTACTTAGACGAAATTTAACTGAAGAAAAAACTACTAAGGGAGAATTAGTCCTGCTTTAGCCAAACACATGGCTTGTGATTCACATGGCTTATGATATCTGTAGCGTTGAAAAACAGTAAATAAATGGGTCATTTGGAAAATATTACGAAAAGTCAAGGAGAAATTATAGGTGAGGCAAGTTTTAAATATCAGGCAGAAAAATTAATTACCATTTCTAATCTCATGCAAAGTGTCTTACATCTTTAACCACCACCAGAACCTGAGAGCCTTGTGTTATCTCAAAAACAGCATACCTCTAAAAGCAGAGCTCACCTTTCAACACACTGAGCTACTGATTTGCTGTTTCCTTAGGGGGAACACTAGCACCAACTGAAACACTAATATTCTTCTCTTCTGTGGATATGCTCTCCATACACTGAAGTGACTCTATAAGGTCAGATCTTATAAGGTGAGACTATTTCCAGCTGGCTAGCTGAAAAATCTAGAAAGATTAACTATGATGTTATACCTTCAGTAAATTAGCACTATTTACCAAAGTGTAAAAGATCTAAGAAATTCAATGCTACTTTCTGTACCCAAATAAGAAGATTCTCACTATTTCAGATTCAAAAATTTCCAATTGCAAATCTTTTTTTCCCTCCCTTCTTAAAATACCCTGATTCTTTAGTTGGGAAACAGCTCAAACTCTTTACTAGAACCGATTGTAACTATCTACTCCAGTACAAGTTAGGGTTGTGCATGGCTTTCCTACACATCTTGTTCTCACCACCTCCTCTCTTCCTTCGAAGAGTTGCACCCTCTTAGACAGAAACTTGCTATTTTCAGCATGTCTCCGGATGAAGAGTTATTCTCATTATTTTGTGTTGGTTTTTTTTTCTTTAATTCTATAGGCTATTGTAGAAAAATTCACTCACAAAATCATACTTCTAGCTGCTGTAAGCCAGTAATGCAAATTTGTATTAACTTTAATAAAACTATATAAATTAACTTTATAACAATGTTACTGTAACTAAATAGCCTAGATTAAAAAATGATAGATCCAAAATCTGTCATTTACTTACGTATACATTCTGGCTGGATTCCACTCCATGTAAGATCAGGAAGGCAAGTTCGTGTTGTTGAGCCATGGAGAAGGTGTCCTTTTTTACACTGAAATTGAACAATATTTCCCACCTGTTGAAAAGTAGAAAACACAGTAATATTGTTATGAAAAAAAAATCAATTGGGTCTTTTTCTTTGAAATTTGATAGCAAACTCCTTTGCATAACACCGGCTTAATAAATTGTGATGCTTTTTCTGTAGAAAGTAAATTAATTTCACAGAGCATTTTAATATTAAATAAATATTTGCTTCTTTCTCATTAAAATTACTCTCCTTCTAAACTGAAATCCTCCATGGAAGAGAATCAAAACCTCATCTTCTGTGGTCTCTCTGGTGTGTTACTTTGGGCCCAGAACAGTTGATGCACTGTGAGTTTGGAAATCAAGCTTACTGTGGCTTCCTAGCTCTGGGTCAAGGAGGAGAAAGTTAGTCAATCTTGCAGCAGTCCAGGGAAGTCACTGAACTGAAATGGGTAATAGATACTGCTGGACCTTTGCTGAACTAGACCACCCCTATGAATTCACAAATTGTAATGAGAAATATTTCATTAGAACACGCAAGGCCTGGTCAACAACATTGTCTCATGCTTCAGAAACTGTAATGTTCGTATAATATCTTAATTTTGGGTTTTGATGACAAGAGGTAAAAAAGAATATTTTTTTATGCCATGCAGATAATAGAAACAGGAATGCAAGTCCATTACAATTTACAATAGGAATTCATCTGAGATTAGTTTTTAATTATTATTCTTCTTATGGGTATGTGTTGCACAAAAAGGAAAATAGAGTTCTTTAGTCAATAACAGTTTCTGCACAAACATAACATTGAATAACTTGTTCAGCATGTCCAGTCATGGTGACATCGATGAAAATACAAATAATTCTCAGTTTCCATCAAAAGCAGGGAAACTAGATTACAAGTTTATCATTCAGAGAGTAGTTTGTTACATGGTGTGAGTGGTTAACTCAAATATTAAAGGTGCATAGCCATCCACTGTTCTGCAGTGACCGATATTAATGTATTTATCAACCCATGTTTAAACAGGAAGTTGAAAACTTTGACCTGTATGTGGCAGCACATTTATGGTTCTGTTTTGATTGGTTGGGTTTTTTTTCATTATTTTGTTTAAATGCATAACACTTGATTCAAATCGATGCTCAAAGGTTAATTGTCGACTCTTTCATAATAGTTTAGTCCTGGGAAACAGCATTTCACTGCTACAAGTAGTCATTTGAAACTTTACAGTACTATTCCATTTCAGCTTAAGCTTCTCATCAGAATGAAATTTAATAACAATCCATGAACTGCAGATAGTAGCTCATCAACAGAGTATGTGATTTAAAATTCATTTCCCTCTTTTTTACTCTTTACTGTGCTCACTGGACTACGTAATTATTTTTAAAAGATTTTGAAGAAAATACACTAAATCAATTGCATGATTAAGCACAAAGTGGGAAAACACTAAAAGTTTTAGAAGTTGCTCTTAGTACTAAAAATACATTGGTGAGATAAGAAAATGGGTCAAGTTGCCAAGTAAGTGAAAATGTTGAGTTGCTAGCATTCCACAATTAAAAAAAAAAAAACAAACCACCAAACAAACACACACACCCCCCCACCAGCAAACAAACAAAACTCAAACCAAACCATTGTTAATATTGCAACCAGTTGTGCAATACCAACTTGTCTATCCGAAACAGTAACTACTAGTGAAACTGTTTTCCTTATTTCGTCTGAAAAAAAATGGATATCACCTGCATTATCTTTATTAAGGAAACACAACCTTTATATACATAAGCCCCAAAAGTATCATCAAAAATACAGCAGTTGCCCAAGTGATGAAGGCATTTCCAGAAGTGCTGCCATGCTATTCAAGATAATGAATAAATAATAAAAGGAATGAGGCTCCCTGCTCCTAAAAAAACCCAAAACTTACAAGCAATATGTAATTATTAGGAAAAAAAATATTGCTTTTTGGGAACTCTATTGTGCAATATTCTTGTGCCAGAGGCACCAGGTGGCGCTCCAGCACAGCCTTCTATCGTCTTAAAAAATTCCCCGTCTTGAAATGTTCTGATTTGTTCGAATTTTTCGTTATATGGCTTGAATAGAAGCACTAGTGGGGAGAGCTGGGGAAACAGCTGAAATATCTTTGTACACTGTACTCTGGTTTTAGGAAAGAACTGTTCTATGTACAACAGCGTTTGGATCCAAACCTGGGGAAAAAAAAAAAATTTTCCT